CTGCAGCAGCAGATGGAGAGAAGCAGCAACAGTCGCTGCAGCAGCGGCTAATTAACTTCCTCTCCCAGCAGCAAAGACAGCAGGGGCGGCTGCTGCAGATACTGTCGCAGCACCGGCAGCAGGAGAACGCCTCAGGCGAACTCTCGCAGCAGCAGCAGCAGCAGCAGCAGCAACAGCAGCAGCAGCAGCAGCAGATGGATCAGCAGCAGGGGGACTCGCTGCGGCAGCAGAGGGCGAAGCTTCTTAGTCGCATCGTGAATTTGCTGCAGCAGCAGCAGCAGCAGCAGCAGCAGCAACCGTCCAGCACGGTAGACATGGAGGAGAGTCATCAGCAGCAGCAGCAGCATGCACCCGAGGATCTCGCTGCAGCAGCAGCAGCTGCTGCTGCTGCTGCTGCTGCTGCTACTGGCTCCCATAGGGGCCTCGGGGGGCCCCACCGGGGGGAGATGGGGGGCGGCCGAGCGGGCCAGGGGGCCCTTGAGGAGTCTCCATCTGTAGAGGGTGATGAAGCAGCAGCAGCAGCTGCTGCTGCTGCTGCTGCTGCAGCATCTGCTGCTGCTGCTGCTCTACAGCCTGATGAGCAGCAGGATGTTGCTGCTGCAGCATTGACGCGGCATGCACTCTCAGGATTGAAGCCGTTGCTGCAGGCAGCGTATAGACTCCCTCATTTCCCTGTGCAGTCTGCTGCTGCTGCAGCAGCAGCAGCAGCAGCAGCAGCAGCAGCAGCGGGAGGAGGAGGAGCAGCAGCAGCAGGGGACAGCAACAGAGCAGCAGCAGCAGCACGCAGCAGCAGCCCCCTAGGGTCTTGTCTTGCTGCTTGTCTCTCCTCTGGTGCTGAGGAGACAGCTAGGGGGCTGAGCCTGGGCCTCGGTGTCAGTGAGTGGCAGAGAGACAGCGCCTTTCTCTTTTGTGAGCTCTCCAGGCTGCTGCGTGCTGCAGCACAGCTGCCCCCGGAACCCCTACTAGAAAGTCTCCTCAGGGTAGACCCGCAGCAGCAGCAGC